GTAGCACTTCATAAGACATAACCACACTATAGTTGTTTATACAAAGTGTAAAGGTAATAAAAAGCAATATATACAGTGTTATCTTCATTTTAGATAAGATAAATGGATATAAGGATGACGCCTCATGGCATTTTTCTGCTTTCGTTTGCTACATGGACAATTTAAATTCAGCTTTTTAATTTATTTGAAAGAGACATTCATTGTTATTATTTTTCAAGAATTCAAAATGTTCAAAATGTGTTCATTAAATGAATAAAATGTAATTTTCTCTGTAGCACGTGGATTTCATAAGAAACATGCTGCGGTAAAGTAGTAGAAGTTTTTTTTTTTTCATTTTAGATGTGCGGCTCCCAGTGTTTTCTTTTCCGTGGAAACCGCGTTCAAATGGCTCTTTCGGTGTCAAAGGTTGCCGACCGCTGATCTATACCATTTCCCATTATTATATAGTTTGGGTGACCAGACAATATTTATCTCACTCTCTTTTGTTTTGTGTCAGTTTTTCATTTCATGTTGCAAAAATGGGTACACGTCAATGAAAGCCTAGCAAAGCAACATTTTAGATGATAAAAGAAAAAGTATTCAACCACAGGTGCATAAAATGGGCATCAAAATTCAGAAAATTGTTCCTGTGTTCATTGAGAAATGGACAACAAAGCATACTTTTCAAAGGAGGTGTACCAGTGTCATCTAAGAACCTTCCCTACCTCTTATTGGCCGGACCTTTCTGCGCCCACTGGATCTGAGCCAACTGTAAGGCTTCACACACTTGGCTGAATTTCTCCTCCTGATGACACAATCATGCACACGATCAGGAGAAGGAACCAAAATGAATCCTCCGAAGCACACTTCTGAGGGGTTGCTTTCCTTTTTAGCTTTAATTCAAATAGAATCACTCGTCATGATTAGGATTATGAGAGACCGTTTGGGAAATTGGTTTAAGGCAAAAATAAAGAGCGCTTTACCCTGAGAAAATCTTTCAGCTGAATTTCCGAGCTTTCTTCAAACTCTTCCTGAATCTGTTCCTGGTAGGAAATATCCAGGTAGAGTGGATTGATCCACTCCAGCAGCAACGTCTCCTGAAATGGACGCATAGACACCAAATCAGCACGTAGATCAACTCACCTGGTCATGCATGTTTCGACTCACGTCTCTGGGTAAGTGTTCGTTCCGTGACATGAGAGGCTCGATGTGGCGAGGATGACGCTCCAGAGACGGTCCGTGAAACCATCCGCTTAAAGACAGACGACACTTGTCCTGTGACAACACCTCGGAGACCTGGTTAAGCACAAAAGATGTCAATTTGTTGACTCCTTGGCAGGACAGACGACGTGTATAACTCTTACTTGGTGAAAGGAGACTGGAGACACTTCGAAAAGTACAAGTGTATTCCAAGAAGGCACCAGAGACTTGACAACACTTTGTGGTTGGAAATGCCCTGAAGACATTTTTTTTTTTTTAAACAAAAGACATCGAGTCACATCACTGAGGTGAGAAGTAACAAGTTAAAATATTATTTTTGTTTTTGCAGTTCACCCAAGGAAGAACAACCTTACAAAGAGATTAGGCCTTGAACGAGGAGATGATAATTATTTGTTGTACACTCAGGGGTACACTCCTACACGGTTACATACACGTGCTCGCAGCCTTGCTCTGAATGTCATCAAGGACTTCAGCAGATTTGCTAAACTACTTTGGAAAATCAACTTCTGGGGGGGAAAAAACAGCAAGGATTTAATAAGCCATACATTCTCTCCTTCCTACTTGGTCAAAATAGGCTTGTTATTTCTTAAAACTTTGCTGAAGATATGACCAAAAACAAAACAAAAAAAGACAATGGCAGGTAAAGTTTGATGTCATTTTTACACAGGATTTGGATCAGAATCAGAATGGCTTTATTGTGACAACAAAATTAGGAGTGCTTTGCCAGAAAGTGCATGAAAAACAGGAAACAAGAAAACAATAAGAAACCGTGCCAAATACAAATAGAGCAATGAGAGGCACTCTGAAATTGTATTTTACATAGAATACATGCTAGTGACAGAAGAGTGCAACAATTCCTGCTAAAAACAGCCTAAAATCCTCAACTTAATAGTGTGCTGCATGCTGCTATTTTAAGTGAGTATTTAAAGTTGTGAGACACTGGGGAAGAAAAAAATGTCTCTAAATCTGGATGTGCGAGTTCTGGCAGACCTGTATCGCCCTACTGAGGGATGTAGCTGAAAGTGTCCATGACCTGGATGTAAGGAGTCTTTAATTGTACTTATTAGCTCTGCTGAATATCGCGTTATGAGGCGATGTTGTGCAGTGAGGGCATAGAGCAGTCGATGATCTTTTCTGCCGAGCGGATTACTCTCGGCTGTGAAAGACGTCGGGTTACAGTATGTCACAGAAAGAATTATTCCTCTACAAACGCCATCATTTTTGACAATTTGTAATGCCTTACCTGTACATGTTTTTTTTTCTTTGGTCCAAGATCCTTCTTTTGGTCTCTAGTTCAACGACTGTACTTTTTTTTTTTTTTTTACTTGGGGGCTTCTTTAGGGGGGTAATTGGGGGCATG